TGCTACTTGTCAGAGTACCCAGCATGCTCGGAGGCTATGGGTTGGGACTGTGTGCAAAGTGGTGTGAATCGGGCAGGGCTTGTCCAGCAGTTCGTCAAGAACGAATCTGTGTCCCGTGAAGGGTTTATTCTTCCTGCCCATAGACTGGTGGTCGAGTGACCCGCCAAGATGTATTTGTTTGGCCTAGGCCGCACATTGTGTCAAGGCAGCGGGCTCCAGTTGAGTTTCCTAGGACCTCCATGTGCTTTCCATCGCATAATACTTTTGTACTACTTGCGATAATTCCGTGAAACTCTGTATGTGGCAACGGTCGAGGGAATTCAATATTCCTTCGTCGGTGCAGTTACGGTGGAAAACTGAAACTACGTCGTCGTCCGAGCAGTCTTTGATCCTGTTTTTAACAAGCAAGAATCTGGCCCAAAAGTGGTGAACCATTTCCTGAGGCTGCTGTCGCACATACATCAGGTCGTATATATCTAGAGGACCTGAGTTGCTTGGAGAATATAGATTGTGGTGGATGGGTGGATTAAATTTTGGATCCTGTCCCACATCTGTGTTTGGAGCCAGAATGGTTTCCGAAGTGACGGGTTTGGATCCGGTTAATCGCAAAGGCTCCGACGATCCTAAACTTGAACCAGAGTCCGGAGGGCGTAAGGTCCCGTCCAAAGGGGAAGTATCCGGCTCAGGGGATTCGGGGACCCAAACATACTTGGTTTTCAATATGGGGAGGGAAGTGTCTGTGGCCGGTTCCTCAATGACCGCCACGAGGTGGGTGAGCGGCGGGTGATTAATTTTCCTCTTGTCGGGCTTGAGCCTAGATGTCTAGCCTATGAGAATTCCAATGGTGGTGAAGAAGATAGCCTCTACGGACTAACCCCTCTAGTTTATATACACACCAGAGGGGTCTAGGGTTTGTACAAGGTTAGTTTATCAGCGAAGGAAGCTTCCGGACTCTATTCTTGCCGTCCACATTTTGAGAAGTCCCATCTAGACACGGTGGATAATCTTCAGCTTGATCTTGTACGCCCCATCCAACCCGGCCCATACTCCTGGGCCGGACACCTGAGGACCCACGAATCCAGGACTCCCTTAGAAGTCCCCCCCCCCTCTCCCATTTGGCCGGCCAAGCGAGAAGGAGTTGGACTTCTTCTCCACTCCAATTTGGCCTCCTTCCTTAGGGAAGGGAGGCGCCTCCCACTTTGGCCCTTGTAGACCAAGTTGCCTTCAACCTCTTGGCCTTTTTAGCCCCGTTGATATTAAATTAAATAGAAAATTGTTCTAAATACTTTTAGACCATTTTATATATAACTTAACATCCCGAAAAACATTATTTGATATTCACTGAAACCCTTCCGGTGACCCGAAACACTCCCGCATCCTCTCGGAACTATTCTGAATATTAATGAAACAACTACACAAATATATTCTCATCACTTCGGTCCTACTAACACTCAGTGGATCATGATAGCATTAAACTTGTGACCCCATAGGTTCGGCAACTCATAGACATGAACGAAACCCCTTTGTTCAATGACTGATAGCAAAACCATAGACGTCCATATAGATCCCTATGAGCACACGAATGATATTCGAGTAAAACTTGGTTATAATGTGATGTTTCATTTGTTTCGCGATACTTCACCAAACCCGGGATGTGTCGGTATCCTCCTAAGTCATCACATGCTCACTATATCGATATCATACTAGTTTTGTTCTTCTTTCTCATTGTCGTGTTACGGCATCCCCGTGATGAAGTCAGCTGTGTCTGGCCAAACGATGATGGATGTTGTCACACTGAGAGGCCCCTAAGAATATCTCTCTATCGTTGGAGGAGCAAATCCCACTCTCGAGCTATCTAGTCCTTTGTCAAACTTTTCGATGAATCTGTAAGTTCTCATAATGATTACCGTGTTACATGTGGCGTTTGAGCAACCCCAAAATCTACCATATGGTAAGGAGTGACTATGATACTCTCATGGTCTAAGGAGCAAAATCATGTGTAAACACTCCAGATAATTACAATTGATTACAAACGATTTTATTTCAATTCATAACAAACAAGTTTGGGTCGATTCAATATGATCGTTCTTCCAACATCATAATCTCAATATTGTTTTAGGACCATCGTTACACTTAACAATGTCCTAAGATTCGGAAAACGTGATCACCAACAACACTTGAGCGCTAGTCTTAGAGGCGAGACTAGGAACACCGCGACGATGGCGTGCGAGGGTGGCCGGCGTTAACCTTTCCTGTTTGTAGCAAAGGTGGTGCTCCCATGGTGAGGTTGCATTGCAGCGGAGTTGTTTCGGAGAGAGTAGTGGTCACATCGCCCTTCATTTTGCGGCGGGGATGCAGCAGGTGGTGGGCATGGTCGCGACACCATGGGAGCCATTCCCTCTCGAGCTAGACGAACAAGATATCGAGAGGGGAAAAATGAAGGGGGAGAATTGTGTGGAGCAGAGACATCTTGAAGGGATAAGGCTGGAGCCTTGAGGGGAACCGATGAGGAAACACAAGTCCTACCTAGACTAACTACGCATGTTTAGGTAAACTAGAACAATGCTCGTGCGTACGGGATATAAATATTCTAGTATGTTAACTTATGATTTACCCGCCCATAATATACGATTGTGTAAATAAATGTTCATCACATTTTGTCCGTGGTTTACCATATATTTTGATCAGAAGTAATTTACCTGCCCATAGTATGCGATTGTGTAAATAAATGATCATCAAATTATGCCCATGATTTACCTCATATTTCTATCAGAAGTGATTTACCCGCCCATAGTATGCGATTGTATAAATAAATGTTCATCAAATTATGTCCGTGATTTACCTTATATTTCGGTTAGAAGTTTGGTAAGTAAATTAAAATGAAATTGGTTCAGAAGGTAAGTAAATTAAGGTGATTGGTTATTATATGGGGAAGGTTGGACGAAGGGGTGATGTGAAGAAAGGTGAAACAGGAACCTTATATCCTTTTCAAGTAAGTAGAGATAGAGATAGAGAAACCAATGTGGCGGATTGGTGTTTAGGGGAGGAAGGGGGCCACCCCCTAAAATTCGGGGGGGAGGGGGTGTTCACATTAGTTTACAAGGTTTCGTAGACTTGCATAGGGTCTTCATAGGTGTAGAACTACCAGAAAGCGGTGGACGGGTTGCGGGGGCACGTGTCGCTAAGCGGACACGGTTTAAGTTCTCATTATTATCAGTCGGTGGAAAACAAGTGATTTCCTGTTGCATAATATAAGTATATACTTGTATACATGTGACATTCCCCACTATGAGCAGCCTTAAAACTGTTTTATTGTTATATAAATAAAACTGTACTAGTTACCCAAACAACCACTAACTTAACTAGTGGGAGTGTTAAGTATGATCGAGGATTTGACGGGCAAGATGTATTCCCTTCATCCGAAAATACTTGCCATCTAGATACATCCCCTTTTATCTATATAGTAAGTGGAGCACTGTATTATCAGAAAACAACTCCACTTTAACACGTCCACAGACATGCCGGGCCGTGCGCCTTCTTCCGTTTCTTTTCCGTGTCTGCCATGCGTGCATACCACATTGGTGCATACACAGATCGACCGAGGCTGACGCGCGGGACCCCGTCACTTGGCGGCCCACATCACAGCGATACAAGAGGAGGGGCGAGGGGCCCTGTTGCGTTGCGTACCGGTTGCCCCCTGTCAGTCAATCAGTCGGTCAGTCAGGCGGTCGACGGCCATGGAAGGCAAAGAGGGGATTCCTCGCTTGCCATAATAAATACGAGGGGGAGGGAGCGGGGGTTTTCTGGGAGTGGTGTGCCTCAGAAGCCAGCCAGCCAGTCGAGGAACCAGCGAGGGTTTTCGTCTCCCGCTCCGCTCCAGCCCAAGAGGGCAGATCCGTCGAGCGAGCCGTCGTTGCCGTTGCCGGTGACCCGTCCATCCCAGGAGGAAGAGGCCAAGGTGACGAGCTCTCCTCTCCATCGCCGCCTGGCCACGCGCCCTCGCTGCATTTCTTCTTGGTTTTCTCTCGTCTCTGCGCCTGCTTGATTCTGTTTCTGAGCTAGTTTCGGATATTGTTTCACGGTGTATTTACTTTCTCGCCGTTTTCTTGCCGACCGAGGATAGATAGATCCATGGCGTGGGCGACGTAGTCGCTAGCTAGGTCGGTGGTTTTCAGGGTTTTCCCGCGGCGGACTCGCTCGCTCGATCCATCTGTCGCTGCATTGCACTAGTTCGTCTTCTCGATGGTCGGCCGTGCGAATCTAGGATTTCGGCTTTTAACTTTGTGAGTGATGAGTGAGTCACTAATGTTTCGCCTATTCAGAGGGTTTTCAGGTTGGTGCAGAAAGTATGGTGATGCTTTTTCTTCTTTTTTTGCGGGATGTATGGTGGTGTTGTGTTTTTGGGATGCGACAGATCAGGAACGGCGACATATTATTAATTATATTTTGTATGCAAATTACTACGAAGTGATTTCCTCTTGTTTCCTCCCCTGGGTTAGACGGCACCGAATGCTGTCAACTTGTGGTTCCATATCTTCTTTTTTTTTTTTGCGAAATAACTTGTGGTTTCACATCAATAGAACTGGGGGAAAACCAAACCCCTATTGCATAAAAAAAAAGTTATGCTGATGTTGTACCAATTGATTGTTTAACTGGTTCTTAGATTCCAGATTATATTACTTGTCCGCATTTTTTTTCTTTGCTCGATCTTAATCACCTCCTGGAGTTGGGAATACAACCCCTAACTTCATTTCCCCTTTCTTTTTTTGCTTTTTTGAGGGGATCATTTCCCCTTTCTTGGGAAACATACCATGTAGTAACATCAGAAAATATTTTCATGTTACATAAGTTGCATCCTTTTTATCAATTTGCTTTTCATATATTTAGGGAACTAATTAATCGTGGAGCAGTGCGCACAATGTCTGGTTAATTCCCTGCCCAATCAAGAGTACATCCTTGCTGAGCGAATTTCCTTGCTCTGTGTTTTCCTTGCAGAAAAGATGGAGTCGCAGGCTCAGAGCAGCAAGGGCGATTCCAGCAAGTCACCAATGCCGCACGGTGGCGAGGGCGATGAACCTGGCAAGGATGATTCCAGCAAGTCGCCAATGCTGCACCGCGGCAAGGGCGATGAACCCAGCAAGGCGCCGCCCACGCCTCAGATGCTTCCCATCACAAGGCCACCCAAGCCCGGCACAAGGGGGCGGCGCATAACGCTGCTCACCAACCACTTCAAAGCCTCCTGGAAGCCAGCGCATGACTTCTTTTACCACTATCACGTACAGCAATCCCTCCTCCTAAACTAGTCCATCCATCACCATTCCATTTCTTCAACTTGATTTCCACGGCCACCTGCCAACACTTGGTTTCCAATTTTTCCATCCACAGGTAGATCTCAAGTACGCAGACGGTCAACCCGCTGCTGGGGAACGCGTGGGGAGGAAAGTGATGAGGCAGCTTTACGAGACCTACGCCTCTGACCTCGCAGGCAAGCAATTCGCCTACGACGGCGAGACGGGCCTCTACACCGCTGGGCCTCTTCCTTTTACCACCAATGTGTTTGAGGTTATCCTGGTTGATGCTTCATCCCGAAGGTAAAACACTCATCTGCTCCATCACCCATTTTATGTCATCTATTCTTGGAACTCATCATCTTCTCTTGGTAGTGGGAATCATCTTGACATTTAATATAACTTGCAGGTTTGCAGCAACGAGCGGGAGCCATGGAGGAGATGGCAGCCCAGGGCCAAGTGACAACAAGAGAATGAAAACAGAAGCACACTCCAAAATTTTCAAGGTGGAGATAACCTTCGCGGCAAAGGTTCGGATGAACAATTCCTCACAGGATGCTCTTCGGGTTCTCGACATCATTCTGAGGCAGCACTCTGCAAAACAGTATGTTCTTAAGTTTATGTAGCACAACCTTTTTGATCTGTTTATCAAATGTTGCAAACTCTATGATGGCTCTCTGTTAGGTTCTTATTATAACAACCAATTCCATGTTCTTATACTCACTCAGCTTTCTTGCTGGCCGCAGGAATTGCCTTTTAGTCCGACAGTCTTTTTTCCGTGGAGATTCCCGTTACTTGGAGTTGGGTGGCGGTGTTCGCGGTTGTCAGGGTTTTTATTCTAGCTTTCGACCCACTCTCAGTGGGCTCTCACTCAATGTTGGTATGTTTATAATCTCAAGGCCTAATTTGCATGAGCTTCCTGGAAAAAAAGTTTGTTACAAGATTGAAGGTGGCATATTTGCACTACATATGATTGATTGTTGAAGTTTTTGCAGATTTAACCACCACGATGGTAGTGAGACCCGGGCCTGTGATTGACTTTCTACTCTTCAACCAGGATGTGAAGGACACTTCCAGAATTGACTGGCGCAAAGTATGTTACTACATCGTGATTTCTTAATAGATGTTCAGTCCTTAAAGAATCCATCACTAGACTAACATGTTTCCCTGCTCTAACCTTGGTCACCCTTGACATGATTTTAGGCCAAACGGGCACTGAACAAATTAAGGATCGAGACCATTCACACCAAGGCAGAATTTACGATTACTGGATTGACCGAAAACAATTGCAATGAGCAGACGTAAGATGTTATTACTCTTGAATTGTTATATGCAAGTTCAGGGCATACGCCTCACGTCCTCTTGTTTCAATAAATTCATTCTTGTTCTAGTTTCCCACAAAAGCAAAAAGATGGCAACACTGTGGATGTAACTGTCTATGATCACTTCATGAATCGTTGGTCTATGAAGATGGAAAAGTCTGCTAATTTGCCCTGTCTAATTGCGGGGAAGCCAATGCGCCCAACATACCTCCCGCTGGAGGTCCGTCCCTTTCTCGCTGTTCTTGTTCTGAGTCATTCTTCCCGTGCAAAGTCTCTTGTGTTTTTGGTGCTAATTTCATGTTTGCAACCAGGTTTGCATTCTACTGCCATTACAAAGGTATAAAAAGTCACTGTCAACGTTGCAAAGGTCAAAGCTGGTGGAGGGATCCAGGCAGAGGCCGGATCAAAGGATGTTGAGCTTATCTGGTGTATGTTACTCTCATAACCTGAATTCAGCAATACTGCAGTAGATAATGTTCACAGGGTCTAAAAATATTGAAAATACAATAAATCTCAATTTTATTTACCCAGGCGTTGCGTGCCAATAATTATAATTCCGATCCAATGCTGAGGGAATGCGGCATTGCGATAGATCCAGAGTTTACTCAAGTCGAGGGTAGAGTCCTTCAGGCACCACAGGTTAGTAGAGCCATACTGCTCTTTTCACTGGATGTATGTCTTTGAACGCCTACTATGCAGGCCCTTTGCTGCTTGCATCTAATTAAATATCGTAATGTGCAGTTAAACTCTGCAGATGGTAGAGAACTTCGTACACCTAATGGGCGGTGGAACTTCAATAATGACGTAAGCAACTGAACATACCTCTTGATTGAACTCTACACATGTGCACTGTAAACTCTTTATTGTTGCATATTGTTATTGATGCGGTAACGTTCCCAGTTCTGCTCTCCAGAGGTTCATTCAACCCATAAAAGTGAAGATGTGGGGAGTTGTTAATTTTTCTGCACGATATAATGTTGAAGATCTTGTCAGCCGCCTTGTCCAATCTGGTGCCAAGAAGGGAATTGTAAGTTCACCGTTTTGCATAATCTTGGGTTTTTTCAAAAAAATCTGGTATTGATCAAGTTATATTTGCAGGAAATGGCCAAATGTGGCGCTGTAATTGAGGAGAGTCATCAAACGAGACGGGAGCCTCCGACAAAAAGGGTAGAGGCTATGTTTGAGCAGATAAAAGCAAAGCTAAAAAGGAAACCAGACTTTCTCTTTCTCCTGTGTGTTCTTCCTGAGAAAAACTCTGACATCTATGGTTTGCTCTGCTACCTCAACTTTGCAAATAAACTTTATTATGTCTTTATTTATTATCCTAATCTATTGTTCTTATCAGGACCGTGGAAGCGTGAATGCCTTGTGAAACATGGTTTCTTTACGCAATGCTTGGTTCCTCCTGCCAATATCAAAGATCAGTACCTCACAAATGTGCTGCTAAAGATAAATGCAAAGGTTTGTGTTGTGATCTATATTTGCATCTTCAATGTACCACGCAATTTGTTGCCTTGTGACCATGAGGTCACGGGTTCGAGTCCTGGAAACAGCCTCTTGCAGAAATGTAGGGAAAGGCTGCATACTATAGACCCAAAGTGGTCGGACCCTTCCCCGGACCCTGCGCAAGCGGGAGCTACGTGCACCGGGCTGCCCTTTAATGTACCACACAATTTGGATTTGTTAGCTGAAAAACTGAATGCTTTCGTTTTGTTTCATTTCTGCCAATCAGCTTGGCGGGTTGAATTCATTGCTAAAAAAGGAAACAATCCGTGCTATTCCTCACGTGTCAGAGGGTACCAACCATCATCTTTGGTATGGATGTTTCCCATGGTTCACCAGGACAAAATGTACCATCAGTTGCTGCAGTAAGTTTTGCTTATGTTTACAGTTTCCTGCAGTAAGAAGTCAGGTGTCAGCTGATGGTGCTGGAGAGATTTTCCAACCGACAATTTGCTTACTCACCTGGGTGTTTTTTTGGCATTTACCTAGGTGGTTAGTTCATTGAAGTGGCCAATCATGTCGAAGTACAGAGCTTCTGTGTGCACTCAGTCACCCAGGCTGGAAATGATTGATACCTTGTTTAAGCCAGTTGGAGATGATGATCATGGCCTCATTAAGTGAGTTTCTTCTGCTTGGATTTATAGAAGTGCAATTTAAACAATTGTAATAGCAATGCTTCCTAATTATACATATGCTTTTGTTTTGTTGCTCACTGGGACAATAACAATTTCAGGGATTCACTAGTTGACTTCCTCGGAAACAACGATGGTCAGAGGCCGGAACAAATTATCATTTTCAGGTCAGTAGTCCTCCCTAGATAATTGATAGTAGACTTTGCATTTAAGCAGCATAATTTTTCTGTAGAAATTGGTGGACAATTTGTGTTGCCCCTCGATGTTAAGAGTACAAACTGACTCTAATACTCGATGCCATCTTCAAGTTTACTTTGGCACCCTGATTTCTAAGGAAACTATGTTGTCTTGATGTTAGGGATGGCGTTAGTGAGAGCCAGTTCAATCAGGCACTGAACGAGGAGCTAGCTCAGATCATGGAGGTAAAAACATAAATGATGTTCCATTCTTCATGAGCCAGTTCTGGATAGTAATGTCTTTTTAATTGATACAGGCATGCAAGTTTTTTGGTGGCAAGCATTTTAATGGTAACTGGTTCCCCAAGTTCACATTGATAGTTGCACAGAAGAATCATCACACGAGATTTTTCTCGCGAAATGGACAGAGACCTAAGTGAATAATGTCCCCCCAGGTAACCTACATCTTTTATCTATACACCTACAATTTTGTATGGACCAAATGAGCAATTCTTAGGCCTTTTTACACATACATTCTTATCATATTCCTATTTTCCCCTTGTGTAGGTACTGTGGTTGATAGTGGAATCTGCCATCCAAGGAACTATGATTTCTACATGTGTGCTCATGCTGGCATAATTGTACGTTCTCTCTACCTTGTGAGTTGTGATTGTAACTCACATCGTTGCAAATGTTTATTTGAGTCTAAGTCATTCTGCTTTTGTGTTCCAGGGGACTACAAGGCCAACACACTACCATGTTCTCCACGATGAGATAGGCTTCTCTGCTGATGAGCTGGAGGAGCTCGTGCACTCCCTATCCTATGTGTATGTCCACTAAAGCAGTTAGTTTTAACAAAAGATTCAGTTGTTACCTTGCCTCTGATCATCACTGCATCCTTTTGATATTTCAATGCTTGCGAACTCGTTTCAGGTACCAGAGGAGCACCACAGCAATCTCAGTAGGTAAGCATGATTTTCCACTACTTGATTTCGCAACATATATATCAAAAAGGCATGGCTGACCATCTGATTTTCCCTCTCAGTTGCTCCCATCTTCTACGCACACCTTGCAGCGGGCCAGGTGGCCAAGTTCACCAAGATCGATGATATGTCGGAGACATCGTCCCAGGCTGAGGCTGCCCCGGTGCCGGAGCTGCCTCGTCTGCATCCCAATGTAGCGTCAACGATGTTCTTCTGCTGAGTCGCACAGTTTCCCCATCGTCGGTGGTTGGAAGCAACGGAAACTTTCTCAAATGCTACGGAACCGGTCGTAGTGTTAATGCCTGAGTGCTGAAGTATGCTTTTGGTCTTAGCTGCTTGATTTAGTGGGTGTTATCTCGACGAACAATCTTTGATTGCTATCATGGTGCTTTCTGTGGAGTTCCTTGCCAACAATAATCTGAACTTTTGATAGTCGAGACCTTAAACTCTGCTCATGTGCAAGGTGCCTACATATTTTGCATGTGAAGTTCATAAATATTGTCGCCAGCATGTCCAACGGTTAAGTTTCGGATTCTCAATAAGTGTCTTTAGTTTTGTGATTATGTACTTTGCTGTCAATTTACTTAAAGTAAAGGCCAGGCTTTTGACCCCACTACTAACATCGGTGAAAACAATAAGTAAAATATAGAATTACCCATTATTAAATATGTTTCTTTCACAACCCAAAGGAAAAATAATAAATGCAACTACGAAATAATTTTTAGAGGATACTAGTTATCTATAAGTTGCAGTCAAGGAGTAATTTCCAGATGTCAAACTGAAATTATGAGGTAATTTGCACTTTCAGATCAGTGCAAAAATAGCAGGAGAGAAAGAAACCGTCAATCCTTGTCTAGTCAATCCACCCTTCTCATATTTTGACTCCAATTTACATCAAAAGTCCCCGCATAGTTTGTACTAATCACTAATGAAACCTGGTTTACAACAATTGTATAAATAAGACTACATTGAGCATCAAAAATCAGATGGCAGATGGGAAAACACTAAAGCTGATGCCATATTGCAAGTCCCTGAGGTGTGAGTCATGCTTTTTCTATAGAATTGATTCTTCGTTCTTCATATAGACAAATGACTGGGGCGATCTCGAACTTACCTTGAAATATTCAGGCTCATCAAACTCAAGACCATCTATCAGCAGATCATACTTGTATTCCATATGAGAGCGCAAGCAGTCAAGAACAGCCAAGACATGATTTACTTGTTGGCTCTTTGATCTGTCTTCTGCTGTGAAGGTATAAACCTTATTGCCAATTTCTATCCAGCTGCACCCAGTGTTCGTCTTCAGTCCTCTCTCCTTCATCATCATCCTCACTCTGGCCACATCACTCCAGCAATCAATGCTAGCATATAGATTTGCTAGCTGTACATGAGTTGCAGCACAACCTGGCTCCAGCTTAAGACGGTGCTCTGCAGCATGGATGCCAATCGGAATGTTTCCATGCATCCTACAGGCAGCCAGCAGAGAACCCCATATGACTGCATTTGGAGACTTGGACATTGTATGGATCAAATCCCATGCTTCATCGAGCAACCCTGCCCGGCCGAGGAGGTCTACCATACACGAGTAGTGATCTAGCTCTGGTTCTATTCCAAGTCTGATCATTGCCTTGAAGCAGCGCCGGCCTTCCTCTACAAGGCATGCATGCCGACATGATGACAGGATGCCAAGGAAGGAGATTGCATCAGGCACTATGTGCTCCTCCTCCATTTCTTTTAGCAAGCTTAGGCAATGCTCAGCAAGGCCATGCTGTGAATATCCAAATATCATGGAGTTCCAAGAAATCAGGTCCTTGCACGCAATGCTCTCAAATATGGACTGGGCCTCATCTATACTCCCACACTTTGCATACATTGATATCAGTGCATTAGAGACATGCACACACAAATCAAAACCCATTCTCAGTTCTAGACTATGAACACTTTTACCAAGTGCAAGAAGTGCGTGGTTAGTACACACACTGAAGATAGTGGCAAATGTGATGTCATTAGGCCTGCACACTGACTGCCTCATCAGCTGAAACACCTGGAGGCAAGGCTCAACCTTATTATCCTGCACATAACCAGAAATGAGTGCTGTCCACGACACCGTATTTTTAACTGGCATGTTCTGAAAAACCTGACAAGCATTCTCCAGTTGATAACATCTTGCATATAAGCTGATTAAAGAGGTGCCAGAAAGGACTGATAATTCATAACCAACTTTCACCAGTAGAGCATGGAGCTGGACACCTCCCCTAATGGACTTCTTAACAGCACAAAAGCTCATGGCAGATGCTAAAATAGATATATCCGCACTCATTCCTCTCCTATGCAGCTCCATAAGTAGCATAAACTTGTTTACCTTTGCGAGCTTATTCATGGAAGGACAAGCAGAGATATCATGAGAATCAACGGTATTGGGTAAAATTTGCTCTGCATTATTGCTTGAGCCAACAAACTGCACTTTTCCATTACGCATAACATGATTTTCTGGCTGAACTCCCAAGATGTCATGCATACAGTCGTTGATAAGGCGGCGGTGAGATGGACCTTCCTCCTTGCCATTATATGCCTTCCTTGGCACGAGGTGCATGACTCTCAATGCGTCATGGATGCCACGACCCCCTTGCTTTCTTGATCTCTCGGGTGGTAAGTGAGTGCCAAAATTCGCCACGCACAGACGAATTGGTGAGAACGATGGTAAATGTTTGCTGAAACGGTACCAGAGGAGATGGCTGTGCTTGTGCATGGCCGAAGTTGTCCATGGGCAAACCCAACAACATGCACAGGAAGTCGTGCAGAGCCTCCGTTTGGAAAGGCCTAGCAGCATTAACAGCTAAGCCCGCACCTGGTGAAGGGAGACAGAGGCATTGAGTTAGTTGTGTTTATCATGAAGGTAGATTTACTAATCCACTGGTCTCAGCTTTATGCATATCATAAGCAGATTGTGTCCGCGTTACTCACCCTGCAGCGTCTCTTCCAGCATCCTTGAATAAGAACATCAAGTTAAGGAGATTTTGGACGCCAAGCTTGGATGCCAATAATTTAACTGTTCCCACAGCAAAAGAGGAGGCGTAGTTAGTAATACATAGATTTTGTAGAGAAGCTCTTTTATATTGAATCAGTCGACCGAAGGCAGACTAAAATTCAGACCTATTGGCACGCACACATACATGATTTTCCATTGAGAAGGGGCAGATGCCTGACGGCCCATCGGAATAGACAAAACATGACAAAAATGCAAGTAACAATACAGGTGTAGAAAAGAGTACCAAATCAATGGCTTGATTCATCTTATATTTGACAGTTTGTACAACAATTGACAAGAAAATGTTGAAATAGCTGTGCAGAATCACGCGCGCATAACAAAATTTCTATGGCTACCACTTAATTGCATCACCAAAGCATGATACATACAGGACATTGGACACATACACATACACACAGGATACGAAATGTTGAAAGCCACCGCCGGCTGCAGGCTGCCTGAAAACTCACCAAAACCGAGATGGGCCAAGCGTGTGGTGTGGCGGCCGGGCACCGCAGGAGCAGCGCCGGCGCGGGACAAGGGACGGGGCGAGTTGGAGCAGGAGAGATGCCGCGGTGCCGGAGCTGGAGCGGGAGCAGCACGCGGCGGCGCTGCCGCACGACGCAGGAGCAGGCGAGCGGCGGCGGCGGGGGCTCTTCCGGTGCGTGCCTGCCCTCGCTTGTGGCTGCGCGCGTGGTTGGGTTGGGCCGTTGGGGGAGAGCTGCAAGCTAGATAGCACTATGTCTTGGGCCTGCACGGTTGCTGTCTGCTAGGGCTATCCCTCGCCCGCTGCGAGATGTAGTTCTGTCTCGCGTCTCCCGAGGCGGGTCCGATTCAGTACTATAGCTGCCCGTGAGTTTCTTTTCCTCTGTGTTTTTTACTCTGTTTTCTTCGGTTTTTCTTTGGTTTTATAAGGATTCCTTTTCTTTTTCTTTTTTTTCTCCGGTTTTTTGGTTCCTTTCTTTGACTTTTAACAGGTTTTCTTTGATCATTTCCTCTTTATTTTTATATTTTTTGCAGCAAATGTCTACATTTTTCATACATATTGTATATGTTTCGTATACATCAGAAACATATTGTATATATGTGTAATATTTTTTTCAAACACATAATTAATGTTTTATCAAATATATGTTTTATTGCGAACCAACCTGTGGTTGGATGGTTAGGTAGACAGTGGTATCCTCGGCCCATCGGGGTTCAAGTCCTGGTGCTCGCATTTATCCTAGATTAATTTCAGGAATTCTGACGATGCGCGTTCAATGAGGGGAGACGTTCCCGTTGACTACGAGGCGCCTACAGTGGCTTCGTAAAATAATAAGATGATATGATAGCTCAGTCTCTCGGAGGTATTCATAGAGTAGGGTGTGCGTATGTGCGTCATAGGGGTGAGGGTATGCGCGTATATATGAGCGCATGCGTCTGTACTATATATGCGTGTATATGTTTTATTTATTTATTTTTGTGCATAGTGTACTTTTTTGGTATGCATATAAAACATTTTTATCCATGTTTAACATTTTTCACATACATGATTAATTTTTCTTAAATAGATCTTCTTGAATGCGTGTTAAAACAATTCAAATACACATTGAAACTTATTCGATGATACAAAAACATTATTTAAATTAAGAACATCTTTTTTACATTGTATATTTTTTTAAGAATCACATATTTTTGAAACTCGTAACATTTTGTCTTAAACTAATATATATGTATTTTTGAATGGTAGGTAGCATTATTTTTCAATTACATGGACACTTTTTACATTGTATAAACATTGTTTACAATGTCACAATACATTTTTTTAAATGCATGAAATTTTTTAAAATGTTACAACATTTTTTTGGAATGCTATCAAACATTTTATAAAATTATTCTTACATTGTATACATTTTTTAAAGGAGTTTTCAATGGCATACCAGATCACACTCTTTTCTTATGAGCTTTCTCTCAAAGTTTCTCATAAAAGGATTTTAAATTTAATGAGGCGACATATGAAATACTTTCTATTTTTTCCACTGGGGTTTTTGAAAGGAATGTATACAAAGCATATTGTTCTCCAAACTCACCAACAAGTTTTCTCCTTCTTCAAAGTTTTTTCTCATAGTGTTATAAAGGAGACAATAATCGCTATATGTTGCATCATTTCCTCCTTATATTTTTTCCGCCAGGTTTAAAGGAGTTTTAGC